ATATTAGCTTCTTTCATAACTGCATCACATTGATGGCTCATATTAATTCAAGTAATATTCATTTTACTTTCCGCTCTACCTCTTCATTACATTTTGGCAATACTAGCATCTAGTTAGGTATTCCCCATTTTTGTAGTTGTGCATTGACTTTTCTAAGTACAGTACTTTGCATTTGTCTGTACTGAATTTCATCTTGTTGATTTCAGATCAGGTCTACAATTTGTCAGTGTCACAACTGTAAAAATGGATTTCAATTGGGGTCTCTAGACACTGTTGTAAAGTAGATAATAACCAATAGTTTTATGACTTTTATACTTGCATTTAAATACTTTTTGTATGGGGGTTGTTTATATGAATGGTAAAACTTCTTAGTATGATCTTGGTTGTTGCAGAAACAGTGAAAGAAAGGGAATTAAGGGGTGACACAGCAGAAAGATGGATCCCATGATAGAAATTCAGGTAATTCATAGCCAATCATCTTGAATTCAAGTGAAACTAATCTTCCCAAAATCAAACTTGACATCTATGATAGCTCTACTCTCCAACATGCCAGTTTTCATATTTTTGTTTCATTTGACGTGAAAACCACTTTTGCTCTCATAGGGTACGTCTAGACTACATGCCTCTAGCGACAGAGGCATGTAGATTAGGGTACCGGACATAGTAAAATGAAGCGGCAATTTAAATAATCGCCGCTTCATTTAAATTTACATGGCTGCCGCGCTGAGCCGACAAAAATCTTCCGCGGATTTGCCTATTCCAAAGTGCTACATTAGCATCTCTTTTCCAGAAAGGGATGCCAGTGTAGACACAACCTGGGTGTTTAGATGAATATGAACTAAGACAATCATCATCCTTCCAGGGCAGTGAGTGAAGACAATGTTTGGCTATTGAGTTGAAACCTAAAAGTACCATTCTGTTGATTAGTTACCTTTCAAATAATTGCATATTGGTTGCTGCGTAACTATCAGGTTTCAAATAAGATTTTCTTTTCATCTCACATAACCAGGATCCCTTCATGTTGAAGATGCCAACTAACAAAATTCTGTTTGGGTTCTCCCATCCAGTGGGTTCAAACTAGGGATTGTGACCTAATACTGGGTCATGGAATGTCAGTCACTGGGTCTCATTGATGCAGGGTGATCAGTGGAAGTACAAAGGCAGATTTCCTGCCTATCAAGGCACTGCAGACTGCACTGCACCCTAGAAGTGGCCAGCAGCAGACCTGGCTCGTAGGTGTGTGTCTCGGGGGGAGAATGCATAGGGTTCTGCACATTGCCCTTATCCAGAGTATTAGCTCTGTACTCCTATTGGTTGGGAATCTGATGCTGGCTGCTTCTGTGGCACAGCATAGTCTGCAGTGCTGGGACAGGCTGGAAGCTTACCTTAACACCCCTGGTGCACTGCTGACCAAGCTAAGCCCCTCATGCCCCAGCCCTGACCCTCCCCAAAGCTGGAGCTCCCTCCTGCAGTCCAAAGCTCTCATCCTCATCCCCACCCACACTTCAGTCAAATTATGTTGGGTCGCAGGTATCAACAATTTTCTCCAACTGGGTCATGAGAAAAAAAATTGAAAACCAATGTTCTAATCTTTAGTTCATATAGACATTCTAGAATTGGTTGGCGACAGGCTATATGCTGCTCTTTCAGATAGAGGGACATTGAAATGTGGAGAAGATGTCCAGAGATCATCTAGGGGAAGAACAAATCATTTGAATTCTAGTAACTACAGTATACTTCACTTTACCATTTCATTTTCTGATAGAGTTTGATGGAACTTCATTAAATTCAGTGGATGCCCTCAATAACCGAGATGTGAACTTTGTGTTTGACCCTGTCAATCAATTCCATGAATTACAATCAATCTTCCCTAAAAGCACATCAAGTAGAAAGTTGGAAGAAGCAATCCAAGATTCACTGTTACGTTTTTTCAGTGATTGAGATCTATTAAAATTTAATCAACCGAATTTTAGTACTTTGTGTCCTTGAAACTTACAATTTCTATAACTCAACGTATTATTTTAGCATCTATCTATATAATATATATATTTCTATGAATGTGGTTTTATTACATGTGTAACATATGTAATAAAACCACACATATATAAATGTACACAAACTCAGTGCTGAGTATTGTGCAATGAACAGACAATTCCATGATGGATATTCAACACATATTGTATTTGTCATGATCTTAGAGGGAAGATTTTTTCCCCATTGATAAGGAACATTCTATGCATCCAGTTTCAATTTACACAAAACATTAGAGCCAAAAAGTGACATTTTCAGTGAAGCAGCATTAATGCTTTAGTACCATCTATAAATTAAATTCTATTGCATCATCTATATAATTCCATTAGCTGGTTTCATAAGCCATGATTGTACTATGTGATCTTCAAATGCCTTAATGCTTTAAAGCTATAAAGCTGTATTCCTTATAATATTTTGTTAATATTTTAGAATATTTTATAATAGGGTGTCATGTAGAAAACAGATATTTTAACTTCACTTCAAGTGAACAGGACAAAATGTTTAGTTTGAGTAGAAAGACATTAATCTCTTAGGCACTACGTAGTGAAACCCCTTTGTATTAAGTCAATTCTTGCCTCTGTGTCTAAACATTTGTCATAGTGAAAGCTTTAACTGCAAACACACTAAAGAAGCTAGACAATGGTGCTGTTTCAACATTCTTGTTTTTCAGTGTGGTAATTTTGGAACAGAGCTCTAGGAAAAAACAATATAAGGCAGATAGTCTCGAACATTTTACCATGAGGCAAAACAGACATTTTCTGGGCCTTAGAGGATCATATCAGAACAAATTCATTCATTTCCCAGAAATATGTTAGGACTGTCTCTAGTGTATTACATCAGGTTAGCCCAAATCATGATTGTTTTAATATGTGTCCAAGTGCTAAGGTTCAACTTCTGCCCTCAGATATTTTCACACAATCCCCGTTGACATCAGAGTTTGAATGGAATAGTTTCTGATTAAATCTGTTGTACTGGTGAGATTGTTATTATCAAGGCTTTATCAGAGAGTTTTAGTGCTAAATGTTGATTTCTGTGTTAAATGTGGTAAAGCAGGTCTGGGCATTCAGTTCTTCATCTTATTGTTTGGTAAAATGGAAGTCTATTAGTATGGTGGCTACCGTAGGTGCTGGAACTCGGGATGTTGGGAGTGCTGCAGCACTTCCTGGCTTGAAGTATTTTCCATTATATACAAGGTTTACAGATTGATTCAATGGTTCTCAGCACCCCAACTGTAAAAATTGTTCCAGCACTTCTGGTGGCTTCCTTTTGACAAAATGCTGTTCTAATAGTCACTGCCCTGCCTAACCTTCCAAAGCATGAAAACGACTGATTCTCAGTGATTATGGGTTTGACCCAAAATTGCTTCTGAGAATCATGCATTTATGTGCACAAACTAGCAAGTGGGAACCATGCATGGGAATTCTGCACCCAACTGCTCATTTGTACAAAGAGGGTTCTGTGTGTAAAGATCACACAGCCAAGTTTGAAAAATGCAGCATCGTTGGTTTGTCAAATGCCTCATTTGTACAAAGAGGGTTCTGTGTGTAAAGATCAGACAACCAAGTTTGAAAAATACAGCATTGTTGGTTTGTCAAATGCCCCCAATGACATCAGAGACTTTTTACCTTTCTTCATTTAAAATTAGGGGATTGGTTTGTTGGGGCTTTTGGGTTACTTTTTACTGATATTAGGGGGTAGTTCATTAATTTAAAGCCAGATTATGGACAGACAGTCCTCCCTGACTCATAGGAGTAAATGTGGAATATTTTAAAATAATTTGAAGGCTCTAGGGTCTGCAATAGTTGCTAGAAAATTTAAATATAAGTGTTTTCATTTTCCTATTCAAAAGCTACAGGGAGAAAATGGGTGTGTGTGTGAGAATGTTATCTAACAAATGATAGGTATATCTAGTGATCTAAATACAGAGATATTCAGAAAGGAAGGGAAGCATGAACTAGCAGCATTATTATAAGTCAAAGTTTATTAGCATATCCTAGAGAAGTTACAGCTATCATAATTATTACACTAGTAACTCTAGAAATATAGACCAAAATCCTTCAGAAACAAGGGGTATTAGTAAATGTCAGTAACTGGATCTAATGAGGTTTGTTATAAATTAAATATGCATTTAATAGCATGTTTCTACTTCCAAGCTAAACACAGTTGCCTCCATTTCTTGCTTGAATCAGTAAAAGTATTGTTTTAACCTCAGTTAGATGAGCTTTTCCCTGGGTAAACCCAAGTTACTTTGAGATCCTTTTACTCTAAACCTAAATTAATCCAGTTTTGTAGCCTCAATTCAGCAAAGCATTAACCCACATGTTTAATCCATCCCTACTCTGCATAGCATGTAAGCACACATTTAATTGAAGCAAATGCTTAAGTGCTTTGCTGAGTTAGGGATGGATTGCTGAAAGAGCGACTGAGTGATTAACTCTGTCTTTACCTCTCCACCTTATATTCACTCTTTATTTAGAAAAATGACCAGAGGCTCAGTCCTGAAAATTGTTGAGGACTCTGTTTGCAATCTGGAAAAACACTCAGAAAGCTGGTTAACTTTGAGCACTTGATAGACCCATTGACTTCAACAGGATTACTCACATGCTTAAAGGTAAGTATGCATATACTGAGATTTAGTGGATTGAGGACAGGATGCTCAGCACCTTGTTAGACTGAACCATAGGCTACTATAGAGAAGAACCCTAAAAAAATCATCATTCACCATTATATTGAATGCTTTAGAGTAAAGTGAAATTATCCTCTTGAAATCAGACTACTTACTTTAGTTCTGACGTTTTAAACCATGTGACTGGAGGCTACATGATAGTAATAATCTAAAAAGCGTCAGAATGGGTTCCCTAGAATATCCTATTGCATTATTAAGTGGAATTTATTAATAAATACTCTCACATTCAGTTAAAAATAAATGCCATGTATTTAAAGCTCTTTGTCATAGGCTATGTCTACACTATAAGGTTTTTGCGGCAGAGAGCATGCTAATGACGGACTCATTAGCATGAGTTGCGATATCATTAGCATATTTTCTGCCAATGCTTTTTGCACAAGGGTTTTTTTTCACAAAAAGAAGCAATGTAGTCGCTTCCGTTTTGCACAAAAAAAACCCTTTTGTACAAGATCCGGAAGAGGCATAAGGATTTTGTGCAAAAGTGGTTTTTTGTACAAAATGGAAGTGGCTACACTGCTTCTTTTTGCACAAACCCCCTTATGCAAAAAGCATTGGCAGAAAATATGCTCATCATAGAATCATAGAATACTGGGACTGGAAGGGACCTCGAGAGGACCAAGTACTGTCTAGACCATCTCTGATAGACATTTATCTAACCTACTCTTAAATATCTCCAGAGATGGAGATTCCACAACCTCCCTCGGTAATTTATTCCAGTGTTTGATCACCCTGACAGTTAGGAACTTTTTCCTAATATCTAACCTAAACCTCCCTTGCTGCAGTTTAAGCCCATTGCTTCTTGTTCTATCCTCAGAGGCCAAGATGAACAAGTTTTCTCCCTCCTCCTTATGACACCCTTTTAGATACCTGAAAACTGCTATCATGTCCCCCCTCCATCTTCTCTTTTCCAAACTAAACAAACCCAATTCTTTCAGCCTTCCTTCATAGGACATGTTCTCTAGACCTTTAATCATTCTTGTTGCTCTTCTCTGGATCATCTTCAATTTCTCGACATTAAGTAATATTCAAGAAAAGATTTCCTTCTCCAGTTCCAGATCAGAATTTTCTGGAGTCCTTTAATAACGAATGCAAGTTCTAAATTCCTTTCCAATACATGTAACTTCAGAATGTTTGTCTGGGCTTTAACATTTTTATCACAGGATTAATTTTGGGCTTTCTATAGGACCATTTTAAAAGATAAGATAGCTGATGGCAAATGGCATCTTATCATAAATCAAAATAATTTTTGTTTTAGCTCTGAGCAACGAAATCTTTGATATTCTGTTTATGACTAAAGGCTCTGTCCAGTCAGACAAGATTCCCATTTAAGTCTATGGTCTAGATTCTGATCTAATTTAACCAGATTCTCATGGTTTTACTCAGGATGTGTAGTACCTGACTCTGTAAGGTATCCCACTGAAATCAGCGAGACAATTTGTGCTGTGAACTAAGTATAGATAAGGACAGCAGATCTTCTGACCCATTGACTTCCCTGCAGTTACTCCTGATTCATGGTGGTGTGAATGAGATCAGAATCCTGTCCTACTTGGACTCTGAAATCAAAGTCTGGCCCATTGCCTGACTGAGAATTGGACAGAATAAGAACTATAAAATATGTACAACACCATTAGTTCAGTAACAGCAACCTCTGTCATTACAGTGAAGATGTTTGACAAAATCTTTGAAGATAGTAGGAGACTTGTGGACTAATGCTCTGTTTTCTGATTCAATGATCTGACAGTGCCTTATTTTTCTGAAATAGTGACTATGAAATTTCAGTAGGTAGGTTTGAACTTACCTTGTAATTACATAAGGTGCAAAACAAAGTATAAAAGTACCAATAAAGGTACTAATTTTCTTTGTTGCTCGTTGTCTCCGTCTCTTTTGTTCTTCTAGACAACGTTCTCGTACACTGTGTAACATTTAACACAAACAAGAACATGAATCACAATACCAAATAGCAGATTTAAATTTTACTCCTGGAATGATTTATACAAGCCTTCCCAGATATGTTGTAATTTTATGGGGACTACTGTCTATTAATTCACTGTATCACATAACTTATGTATCTCCCAACAATATTTACTTTCAATTTTATTTTATAATAAGAGTTGGTCAAATTCAACCCTGGTGAAAGTAGCTATAAGTCTTACTACACTTGGTTAAAGTTGTCTTACTTGCTTACATCAGATCTGAATTTGGCCCTTTGTGTTCAATGGGATTTGGAAATAAAAGTGGTAAGCATGGAATTTTAGTCTATAAAAAGAACATTTTAAACAACATAATATACGGGAAGGGGAATAAAAGAACTAAGAACTTCCCAAAGTGATAAGCAATAAATACTTAGCATACGAGTACTATAGTTAAAAACAGTAAAAATGTAACTAGAAAAATATATTGCACAAATCCTGTATGACATTAGAAATATCATAGAATCATAGAGCTGGAAGAGACCTCAGGAGGTCATATAGTCCAACCCCCTGCTAAAAGCAGGATCAATCCCAACTAAATCATCCCAGCCAGGGCCTTGTCAAGCTGGGACTTAAAAACCTCTAGGGATGGCGATTCCACCGCCTCCCTAAGTAACCCATTCCAGTACTTCACCACCCTCCTAGTGAAATAGTTTTTCTTAATATCCAAACTAGACCTTCCCCACTGCAACTTGAGACCATTGCTCTTGATTCTGTCATCTGTCACCACCGAGAACAGCCACTCTCCATCCTCTTAAGAGCCCTCCTCTCAGGTAGTTGAAGGCTGCTACCAAATATCCCCTCACTCTTCTCTTCTGTAGACTTAAATAAGCCCAAATCCCTCAGCCTTTCCTCATAAATCATGTGCTCTAGCTCCCTTATCACTTTTGTTGCCCTCTGCTGGACTTTCTCCGATGCAGCCACATCCTTTCTGTAATTGGTGGGGGGGGGGGGGGGGGGGGAATTGGACACAATACTCCAGATGTGGCCTCACCAGTATGGAATAAAGGGGAATAATCACTTCTCTAGATCTGATGGCAATGCTCCTCCTAATGCACCCCAATATGCTGGTAACCTTCTTAGCCACAAGGGCACATTTGACTTATATTCAGCTTCTTATCCACTGTAATCCCCAGGTATTTTTCTGCTGAACTGCTGCTTAGCCAGTCGGTCCAGAGCCTGTAACAATGCTTGGGATTCTTCTGTCCCAAGTGCAGGACTCTGCACTTGTCCTTGTAGAACCTCATCAGGTTTCTTTTGGCCCAGTCCTCCAATTTGTTTAGATCACTCTGGACCCTATTCCTGCCCTCCAGCATATCTATCTCTCCCCCTAGTTTGGTGTTATCTGTGAACTTGCTGAGGGTGCAATTCATCCCCTCATCAAGGTCATTAATAAAGAAGTTAAACAAAAACTGACCCTTAGACCATTCTGGTTGACCATGCTATCACCTATCTATGAATTGTATGGCTATATGCTTTGTATCTACTTGTAATTTCTGTGCATAATACTAGAAAAAAGTTTATGTAACATTGCAAAAGACAATTACATATCAAGTCCAAATAACCATGACATCCTGAACCTGGACTAGAAACCAGCACATTTGATTATATAGACTGACTAGAGAAGTAGAAATAAGCTAACTATATATTTCCTCCAGTATAATATTTGGCATGTTAGGACATGAACTACTCCTTTAAACTCACATTGGGCCAGATCTGGAAGTGTTTTTTGAAACCTAGGTTCTATGAGCCATCTATGAGTTCCGAAGGAGCTTAACCCAAATTTAAATTAATATGAGTTAGGCTCTCCTTCACTTATCTGAAGTGAGCCCATAGTTTTTGCTTGCCAAAACTCCCACTGAAATGAGTGACAATTTTTTAAGTTACCGACTAACACGGCTACTCCTCTGAGGCTACCTAAATAAGGAGTGAGAGCTTTAAGATCCATTTAAGGCCCATTCTGCGCATCTGTACATAGAAGTAACTCATTCTGCTGGCTACTCATTCTGAGCATAGCAGAATGGAAAAAAGAGCATGGAAAAAAGAGTGTCTCTAAGCTGTTATGTCGTCATTGTGCACATGAGGGAAATGAGCTCTGTCTCCCTCACTGTCCTAGCTAGCATGACTACACATGCTGTTGCAGGTACAGAGCTAGCAAAGAATACATTTCCCCTCCACCTGCCCTTGAGCAAGAGAAACTAGAAGTTGGGATCCCACAGTTTGAGTCAGGAGCAGCACTTCTGTAATTGTTGTTTATCAGTAATTGTATTGTAAATGCATTATTCATTGTCAGGGTCTAGCCATGTATACAATAGTAGGCATAGGGCTTACTACTGTCTCTGACTCTGATATCACTTAAGTCTAATGTTATCACAAGATATTTTCATCATCACCTATGGTAAGTTTCTTAAACGTTTTTGAATCCTACTAAATTCTTGCTACCTTGTGGCAGCAGACCTGCCAATGGGAGTCAGGCTCCCCATCTTTCTTGGGGCCCATGGAGGTATTAGTACCCCCTCCCCCACTCTGTGGGAATGAGTTCCAAGACTTGCCATGGATTTTGTTAAGAGAAAAATGATTTCCTTGTATCAGATGGAAATGTATTCTTACATGGACAGCTCCCTGAGCATCTTGAAGCTGCCACTGGTTTTAAAGGAAACATGCCGAAAAGTTTTCCTCCCCTGAAATATGTGACTCCCCTAGTAACATTCCGCCCTCCCCCAAAAAACCCTCCTGCTAAGGATGGGGAGAATCACATCTCAACAATGCCACATGTGCAAATTCTTGGTTTTGATTTTTGATCTCTTCACAATTAGAAGTGGATATTTTTACCTTTAAATGCAGGATTTGCTTTCAGTTCTTAGGAACAGAGAAATATGTAGCATTGATAGATCTATACTATCTAGAAGTCTTTAGTGCTTCCTCTTTGCCCTGCACCGATTGCCTCATGGCAACTAAGCTGCTTGATTTTGTGGGTAAAGAGGTGTAATAAAAAAACACCCAACAACAACAAAAATTAGTTCCCATGCTTGCCTATGTGCATATGCAGAATAGTTATTAGCACTCAGCTGGGACATTGCATATCTCACTCAAGACCCCTACTCATGAGTAACACAACAATCTCCAAAGCATGTGATAACCACATCTTAATATATTTTCTTTTACTCTTTTTCTTACACACATACACATGTATTTAAGGTACATATGTATATTTTCATTTACAAATGCATGTATATGTATATAAATATATATGTACATATGCATGTGTTTTGATAATGGTGATAAAACTGCATTAATAATTTTTCATTAATGTTTCTTCAGAGCACTGAGATCCTTAATTAAGGAAATTTCACAATTATGCTATCCTCTGTGGGAGAGCTGGTATAAAGCATTTCATTCCAGAATGGAAAGTTTATGAGATATTGGACCTTCAAATAACCACAATGTCATATATAGCAGCTAATTTTGAGGCAGGGATAAAAATATTCTAAATTTTCTACCAGTCTATTGTGGTAAATAAGGCAACATGGCTTTATGAGTAGAGAGATGAAAAACAATAACAATAAAAATGTAAAACAATGTTTACACAAAATACATGATTATATAAGGTGTGCTAAAGGTTTTCTTAGCGCTCCTTGTGGAAGACCTTCAAAGATTACTTGTTGCTTTACAACTTATGAATAATGTGGTCATCCTTTCCAGTATTATGTACTCTGTGTGCTTATATATTAGTATCTAAGGTCTGAATCCTGAATTATATAAAGGAGGCAGAAGGATGTGCGTATATGTTTCTCAATGCAGAATCGTGGCCTAAATGTATTCCAGCCAAAAAGCAAGTGTTAAGATTGAGGAATTGGGCATAGGTAAATCAGGAAAGGTTAAATTAATGACAACCAGTCAGCTTGTTGAACTTTGCATCCTCATTCATATTCATCAACATATAGTCTCTGTCATTATAATCGATAATGCAATAAAAACTGAGATTTCATATAAATCCCATATGCAGGCCATATACTCTACCATACTGTACTCCCATGTAATATAAATGGTGCAAGATTTTGGGGAAAGGACTAAGTTGAAGGGACCCATTTGTATGCTGTGGCTCACCATCATTTTTAGTATAAACATTTAACAATTATAGCCCAGATGAAAGAGGCAGAAAAATAAATGAATATTTGTTATGGAGAGGTAGACAGAGGGGAAAAGAAAGACAGTGCAGGCAAGGAGAATGAAACTGGAGGACAGACATGGGAAAAATGTAAATAGAAAATGGGAGATTGGGGACATGGAGAGCAACTTACTGAATCAAATGAATATGGAGAGACATTGAAGGTTACAGTATTTAAAAAAATTGAAAGGGCTGTATAATGATTATGCCTTGTATGGAGCCTACATTGTAGCTTTCAGGAGCTCATACTATCTTTTTAGTTACTAGTTTGTACAGTGCCTCCTAATGGTCTTGAGTATGTGCCAAACAAGTGCCAATGAGATATGAAAACTAGATGACACCATTACATCTGGGTGCCTCTTATTTGACAGCTTTTAATCATTTCTAAGGAACTTGGAACCCTGCCTCTCTGTGATGGGAGAGTTGTTGCTTTCCTTTCCTTCTCTATCTTTATTTTCTTTTGTTCTCTCATTCAATTGTCTTCTCACCTCCAGATATTTCCCACTTTTATATTCCTGCCATATTTTTCTATTTCCCACATTTTCTGTATATTTTTTCTCTTCCTCAGTCTCTCTACGTATCTGTTTGCCTCCTACATTTGTAATTGCTATTAATAAAATTATAACTTTTAAAATATTGAACCCAGGAACCACAAGCATGGATTTTTGAAGTTTATAGGTGTTACAGAAGGAATAATAATTAGCAAATGGGCTATCTAGTGGAAGAGGGTTAACTAGAGGTACAGTATATTCCTGACAGATTCCATATATTATAGGCGTGAAATGTTGTTTATAGCTGTGCAAGCTATAATGTGGTGATGTATCAGATAGAAGCAAAGTGTCTTCAAATCTAACTCTGGATCCAAAATCCTGTGTTAAACACTGCAGTTAAAAAGAGTTCATTAAATATACAGGCAGTCCCCGGGTTACGTACAAGATAGGGACTGTAGGTTTGTTCTTAAGTTGAATTTGTATGTAAGTCGGAACTGGTACATATTGTAGGGGAAACTCTAGCCAAACATTTCTCCAGAGCTCAGTTTTATTCTCCCACACCTCACTTCCCTCAGTCCTTTATTCTCAAGCTGAGGTGTCTGCTGAGAAAAGCCGCTCCGCGTCTCCCTGGTCTGCTGGGGGGAATCAGCTAGTGCGGGGTTGCCTCACCCCGTTTGTAAGTAGGGATCCGATGTAAGTCGGATCCATGTAACCCGGGGACTGCCTGTACGAGGTATTTATACTGCTTAATCCAAAAAGGGTATTTCCTATTTCTGAACCTTTTGTAAACTGTTGGGAAAAAACTACCATATATTAATTTTAAATCACTACCGCATAAAGTAGATCAGAATATAATTGCCATATTCTGTATTTTATTTTTCAATTTTCTTAGCCAACTAAATAGCACTATTTTGAGGAGAGTAAATAATAGTCCCTTAAATATTTGCAGCATTCAAGATAGTTCCTACAAGAAATATCAGAAAGCACAAGGGAATATGGCTGATACTAAGATAACCCTATCCAATTATCTTACTTTCACTGTCAGATTTGGGCGGGGGTGGGGGGGAAAGGAGGTTTGGAATTTTAACTTCCATGGATTCCTTTGAAAATCCCCACCTATTCCTTAGGCCTTGATCCACAAAATAAATCAACGAGACAACTTATGTATTTGAAGTTATGCATCTGCTGAAGTGCTTTGCTGGACTAGGGCTTTAAAGATGTATACAGGGATGAAAAGAGGGTCTTTGGCCTTTTTATAGGCTTCATATCATTGGAGTTCTTCTAGTGTACAACTGATTCATATACAGCATTTTTTACAGCAGTAGTGGACAGGACAGCTACAGATTAAAGTCAGACAATGTTTCTGTTATTTACAACAGGATTTAAAATTCATTTTACTATGCAGTGTATGGGCATTTGATATAATGGATGGATTATAACTATCACTAATGGACATGTTGTGCACCCTGTTATTCTGTCAGTTTGCAAGGTAAAGTGTGTAACTTGCAAAAACTGCTTTGGATCAGCTCCTAGTGTCTGGAAACCGTTGTTTCAATGCTTTGTGCAGAAACATCCTCATGTTAATGTTGGCTACAGAAAATCGCAATAACTTCTGTTAGCAATGAGTAAACTTTTCACAAAACAGAAAATGCTTACTTCTTTTCAACAATTATTTTTCTAATCTTCTAAATATTGTAGATAGTATTTTAAGGCCCAATACTGCCTGAGGAGTCAAGAACAGGGATGATTATTTTAATTGGTCCCAAGGTAGTCTATGGCACTGCTAAGGGAAGGAACTATTACACTTGGTAGTATTTCAAAAAATAATATTAGGAACTATTTGGCAATGTTTTATCAACTAATGGCACATGTGGTAGGGGACTACTTAGTCATGTTACTGCTATGGAGTCATAAATAAGGGAGAGATTTAAGTCCTGCTGGCACTATTTTTTTATCTGCTTCATATCCTTAGTTGAAAACAACCCTAAAATTGTTGCTTAACTGAAAAATAGAAAACAAAATCTGAGCTAAGGTTTCCATTTCACTCTCTTTTCAGTCAACTGCAACTGAAGCAGGTACCATAGGTGGATGAAATCCTTCCCCTTCATGTCTTTGGTACTTGGGAACCCAAGGCTCAGTGGTATCAGAAATTTGACTTGTGTTCTTGTCCCCACAAAGGAAGGCTCTCCACCAGTGGAAAGCAGCAGTCTTGGGCTTCTGGAGCTCAACTGCTAGCCAGGTGCAAACTAAATATCCTCTCAGCAGGGAAGCCTCTGTGTTTGCTTTGTAAGGATTCAGGCTGAGGTTGATCAATAGCAAGGAAAGTCACTGTGGACGGCTGGAATGGAATGCCCTTTATCCCACCCAGAGCTCTTCATCCACACCACTTCAGTCCCAGCCACATCAGCTCCACTCTAACCCCTCCCCAGACAGATGACTTTGACTCACCCCACCCACAGCCCAGAAACATCTTTTCCTTTCCAGCTTACTCCCAGCTCCTCCCCTTTACCACATCCTTATAGACTTTCCCAGACAGATCTACTCTCTTATACACAAAGGTGAAAGCAGCCAGTGCACCCGTAAGAGACTGGCCAGCTGGAGGCTGAGCTTTGGATGTTACTGGCACCCTGGGCTGCGTGGTCCCTGATGCCCTGGGGATCTGGTGTCCAGGAAGTGCTTCCCCAGACAGCCCAGTGCTCAGGCAACCAGGCAGCACAGTCCCTGCTGCTCCAGAGATCTAGTAGTTGGACAGTATGGTTCCCCCCAGCCAGTCCCGAGGATCCATCAGCTGGCCAGTGTAGTGGCCACACTTCCAACCCTGGGCTCCCCCCCATCCTCCTCGCCTGAGCCCCCCACACCTTCCAACCCCCTTTCCTGATTCCTGCACACACCCACCCACATCCCAACTCCTTTCCCTGACTGCTGCACCCACCCACACCCCAGCTCTTAGCTCCCCTACTGCCCCTAGTTCCCTGTCCTCTACTTTCCCACACTTACAGGCACCCCAAGCACCTGCCCTGAACCCCCTGCCTCCCCCCATCAAGTTTTGTTGCCCTGTTCAGTTCCTTTTTTTTTTTTTGTTCAACAAGTTTTGCTGCTATGGGGGGGGGGAGGGGAACGTGAGGGTTTTTCAAAAATCAAAAAGGGGGGGCGTGATGCCAAAAAGTTTGGGACCTGTTCCCCACCCCTCCTCTCTCTGCCCCTCCAAAACCTCTCCCCCTCTCAGTTCTTCCCGCAGCCAGGCACCCTTTCTTCCACTCCCTGCTCCTCCACCAGACACCCTCCCCCAGCCAGTGTAAGGCCCTTCCTGACTATTGTCCATAGGCTTCTCCCTCTCCACCTGCCCCACTACACCCCTCACTTTCTAACTGGCCCAGGAAGACCCCCTCAGCAAAATCTGCTTCCCTCCGAGCTCTCTCCTCAGCCAGATCTTCACCCCCCCCCCTCCCCCGCATCCCCTCCCCACACGCTGCAGCTGCCCTCTCCAGAGCCCCTGAGTCAGGCTGGCGCGGAAAGGTCTCTCGAGTGTTTTACCCCTAGGTCTCCGCTCGGGTTTCCCGGGCACAGATTTGGCGCGCTCCCTCGCAACAGGGCCGAGGTACTGAGTGCGCGCCGGCACTGGACGGCTCCAGCCAAGGGACGGCAGCTCCCCTCTGGGGATCTGCAGAGTTAAGGGGCCCCTCTGGTACCAGTCCGGTGCATTTGAGAGGGTCGGTAGCAAAGCGCCGGCGAGTGCTAGATCCGCTTTCGGAGACAAAAGGCAACGTTATTTCCAGGGCAAGTGCCGTCCTATGCGCGCCCTCCCCAGGCACAACGGGGCGGTCAGTGCCCTTGTTTGCCATGATCCCATCCCGGGATCCGTCGGCAGTTAACGTCTTAGCAAAGGGGAGCAACTCCCATGAGCAGGCTGCTTACACCCGGAGCGGGGCGACATGTGTGGTATCCTACCCCCTCCCCATGCCTTCCTTGTGATCCGGATTGGATCCGATTTCCCTGATCTGGCTTCCTTTGCAGCGGGACCCTCCTCTTTCCTTGCGCCCAAAGACACCGCCTTACCTGGGATGGATGTCCACCAGCAGCACCAGGGTCTGCATGGTAATCACGTCAATCCGTTTACAGTGAAACCGTGCCACCTTCAGCACTTTTAGGTAGGTGAAGCACAACACTACGAGGGAGAGGAGGAAGCTGAGGGTGTGAAAGACCCCAGTGAAAATCACAAACTGAGTCCTCTCCTCCGGTCTCTTGCTGTACAGGGTGCAGGAGGCATAGAGGGGATGGAAACCCAGCCAGGAGAGAGACGCTGCCACGACTGGGAAGGACACGGCGTGTAACCACGTGTAGCTCAGTATCAGAGCAGCATCCTTGTACCGCATTTTGGAGTGGTAACTTAGAGGGAAGACCACCGCGATCCATCTGTCTATGCTCAGCGCGGCCATGCTGAGCATGGAGTTAGTGGTCAAGAAAGTCTCCAGGAATCCCACGACGTGGCAAAGCTGATCCCCTCCGGGTTGCTTCTTGTAAATGATCCCGGCCAGGGTGAGGGGCATGTTCAGAACAGTCATCAACAGGTTGGAGAATGTCAGGTTGAGGATGAACAATCCGGGGACCTGCTTGCGGATGTCCGCGCTGTACAAGAAGCAGATCAGCACCAGCACATTGGACAGCAGTGACACGAGGATCAAGACCACAACCAAGAAAGCCAGGGTCGCTTCCCAAATGTTCATGGTGCGGCCATTCACAGGCGGCACATTTCCCAAACTGCACCCAGCGGACACCCGGAGAACAGGGTGCGAGGCGCTCTCGCCTCCTCCGCCTCCTCCTCCCCAGCCTGCTCACACTCCGGCATGCCCGCGGTATTTTTAGAAGAACTGCAGTTTTTTTCTCCCCTCCTGCTGCTTCTTTCCACGTCAACGCTTCCAGAGCCGCGCACAAAGGCGCTGGGAATGCCCATCAAGAGGCGAGGAGGGCTTAAAACATATCAGCAGGGCTGAACCACTGTTTCCACTCGCCCTCCGCCCCTCCCATTCCCCCCCCCCCCACCACCCCACCCGCGGTATTTTTAGAAGAACTGCAGTTTTTTTCTCCCCTCCTGCTGCTTCTTTCCACGTCAACGCTTCCAGAGCCGCGCACAAAGGCGCTGGGAATGCCCATCAAGAGGCGAGGAGGGCTTAAAACATATCAGCAGGGCTGAACCACTGTTTCCACTCGCCCTCCGCCCCTCCCATTCCCCCCCCCCCCACCACCCCACCTGAGAAGTGACTCTTCTGAGATTTCTAATTATCAATCCGAATTTTCCCAGCCTCTCACCGAAAGCGTTTACACTCTCCCTCTGCCCTACCCCCTTTCCGGCAGGCGGAATCTAACCTGCTGCTAAGATCACAGATAAACCCCCTGATGAACTGATCAAAGCGTGCACACTCCCGGTGATTCGCGGACAGGAACTGGTCCGTATATCCCCCTTCCCCCACTTGCCCCTTAGAAAGCTGCAAGAGTGACTAGACTTTCCTCAGGAAAAATCCCATGCCTCTATCCCACCGATTTGGCCGTTAATTTACAAACAGGCATGTAATCGGAGCCAATATTGGTCACGCACTTTACTGCGTTGGTTTGCACAATCGCTAGTTTTCGTCTAAGCATAGGAAAAGGCTCTTCTTTGTATGTATTAGTTATGCTCAAAAGGGGGCCCAGGAATACCTATTCTCTTTCTATTCTTACCCTGTTACTGGGATACTGTAATAATTCTACAGTTTATACTTAAGTGCTTTTCATTCCTGGATCTCTAATCTCTGTACACCTCTTTACCCCCCTTTTATAGAAAGGGGGAAACCCAGGAAAAGAACTATAAAGTAACTTGCCTCGTGGTCACATATCAGATCAGTGGGAGAGCATCAGGACTCAAGTCTCCTGGACTCCCTATGACTGCATTTGTTCCACCTCAGTCGTCACCTGCCCCCTGTAATAGGAGGTGAGCAATTCTTGTGTGGGCATAAACAAGATGCAGGTTGACAAAGCCAAACTGAGCCCGGTAGGAAGTATATGCAATCTGTTGTTAAAATTAAATCTGGTTGGCGTCTTGAATTTTGAATCGAAGGCACGGAACAGTTTTCTGGGCTCAGGTTTCCTTTCCTATCATTTTAAAATTTCTCCAATTCAAATTCTTAAATGTAGAAAGCAAGCAATGCTACATTCTCAACAAGGCAGTCAATTCTTAATACTCTTGCTATAAGAATTCAAAATATACCCTGGTGTGGGATTATGGAGGTTTAATAAGCACATGGGACTTGTGTGCAGGGGGTATCTTTTTAGAAGGACTTTTTACTGCTTACTTCTAGCACTTGTCTGGTACAATGCATGGTTGATTTACAGTGTCTATTCATTTTAAAAATACTCAACCTCTAATTCACACAGTAGAACAGCAGTCACTATCTACTATCTCAATGGGTTGGGTATTAGAGAAGGGCTCCATATTCTTCCATCCAGATTTTTTTTTGCTTAAGACAGATTTAGCAAGGAGAAAGAGAAAGGAAATTAACCTATTGTGACACATTAAAGACTCTTTTGAATTCCTGGGCACATTTAACTCTAATGTGCAAAGGACACAGAACCTTTACTTAGGGTGTGTCTAGACTAAAGGGTTTTTTTGAAAAAAGTGGCCTTTTTGAATAAAAACTTCCCTGTGTCTACACTGCCACCATGTTCTGTCAACAGTAAATCAAAAGAACACGGTGGTTTTGTCGATGATGGTATACCTCATTCTACGAGGAATAACACCTTTTTTTAAAGGTCGTCTTTCGTAAAAAGGTGCTATTGCATGAAAACAGGGCTTTTTCGAAAGAGAGCGTCTAGACTCTCTTTCAAAAAAACGAGCTGCTTTTTCGAAAAATCTTCTTGATGTCTAGACACTCTTTTTCAAAAGAGACTTGTAGTCTAGACGTAGCCTTAGTCACAAGGCATACTGGTAATCAAATGATCCAGAGTACAGAATCCCTTATTTCAAAATGGTCTCCTCTCACTCCAGGACATAAGTTAAGTGTATTTGTCACAGGGGGAATTGTGACTGTACAGAAGCAACACTCCAGGTTTAGGTCTGTGACTGAGTCAGGTGACTAAGGGGCACATGACAGCAGCTTGCAGGAAGTGCCTCCTGTCAGAGGGAGTGTTGCTTAGTCAAGGGATACTAAGGACTGGGAAAGACCTGGTGTAGATCCTTCCATAGAACCCAGTATGGGACCAATGTATTTCGCAGCCCAACTGAAGCAGGAGCCTAGGAAAGGATTGATGGAGCATGACAGCATAAAATCCATGACATTCCAGAGTGCCTCCATACAGAGGCCTGGAGAAACTCCTGTTTGAGAGAACTGGTGTCTGAAACTGGAGCATCAGGGGTAGCTGTGGAGACTTAGGGTACGTCTAGACTACAGGCTTTTGTCGACAGAAGTTTTGTTGACAGATACTGTCGACAGAGCTTCTGTCAACAAAGAGCATTTAGACTACATCCAGTTCTGTCGACAAAGCAAGCCGCTTTATTGACATGACAGTATAGACGCAAAGGATAGTGTAGATTCAATAACGCCTTCTGTCGACAGAACTCTGTCGATAAAAGGCGTTATTCCTTGTAGAATGAGGTTTACAGCCGTCGACAAAACTGCTGAGTTCTGTTGACATTGTGTTGACAGAACTCAGCGGCAGTGTAGACGCAGAACTCAGCAGCACTGTAGACTTTTGTCGACAAAACCCTGTAGTCTAGACACACCTTTAGGAAGGGGGCAAATGGACTGGGGAAGAGCTGCTACAAGTGTGGGCAGGAAGGAGTTAAAGAACGTAGAGATACACTCCCCTGTGCCCTCTCCTGATCCAGCCACCCCATCCTGCCCATGCATACTCCAGGATTAGTACTGAAGGGCAACTCCAGGAAGCAGTGCCTCCATTTTGTTTCAAAAAGCTCTGCATGGCGGCTGAGAATGAATTCATGTAAGAGGCATGTGGGTTGATAGCACTGGAGGAGGAGGAGGGGTGGTAGGGGGGAGGGGATAATGGGATTCTGTGGAGAAGAGGGAATATACCAAGGGAAAGGAGGGTCTTTCTGGGAGTATAGAAATAGGAAGACAATGTGTTGGGGATATATGTGAGACAGAAAAGGGACAGAAGGACTAGGTCTGGAGGGGGGCCTGGATGTGAGCAGGTCTGGGTTGGTGATGGAGAAAGATGGTATGTCAGTCTGTCAGGAGGGGCCCAGTGCAGAGTGGGTTTGGATGAGGAAAAAAGAAAAAGGACTTGGGCAGTGAGGGTGGAGAATATGTATCAGCCAGCACAGGGGACAGTAGGTCTGCAATAAGAGTGGGGGCAGAGATTGAATTAGTTTTTTCCCCCCAGACTATGCCCTTGGCTTTTGAAGCAGATACATTTCTCCACCATAAAAAACAGATTGAACACTTGCTTTAATTGCAACAGAGTACCCAGCCTTAACCATGGAATCACTGCTGCAGCTACTAGTGCATTCCACAAGAAAGAAACAATTCTTAACAGCTAGCAGCTACTAGTATTAAATGGGGATGAGAGCCAGCCTTTGGATGAGACATTAAATTGAGCTATCTGTGTATGTGCTACCTTTATGACACAGGTTATTGTGAAGAAGGGAGGAGAAACCCAAGGTCCTGCTGACATTCCCTCATTTGGTAAGATATATTCAAATGCCCAAAGGAAGTATAGGCCATTGCTACTATTCTACTTGACAATTCAGCTAATAAAGATTAGTGAGACTTCATGAGTAATTTAGAGTGAAGTAAATCCTATGCCAGATCAGCAGACCTGTGTGGAGAAGGAACATGATGCAGGGAATTCACCTGCCATGAGGTAGTGGATCAATGACTAGGGGTATCTTATAGCCAACCCCCACCCTGAGTACAGGTGCCACAGAAACCATGGGGTCTATTGAAGATGAGAGACTTCTAAAGTAGGTATGTGTTGTCTCTGTGACCTCTCTCTCTGCTATTAAGGGAAAAACACACCATTCACCAACCAATAGGAACAGCCTCATTTGTAGTCCTTTGCACTCTGCTGAGGGTGTGTCTACACTGCACTGTTTTTTTCCGGAATAATGGCTGTTATTCCTGAAAACCAATACTAGCATCCACACAGCAATTGCGTTATTTCAAAAGAAAATTGAAATAATGGACAGCTTTTTCCACTGTTGGTAAACCTCATTCCATGGGGAATAATGCCTCTTCCGAAAAAGCTCTTTTGGAAGAGGGCGTATGTGGATGCTCCACAGCTGCTATGTCAAAATAGCTCCTTACCAGGGGCATTCTAAAGTTATTCCTGCCCAGTGCCTCCTGGGGCTCTAAATCAAGACAGCGCATACACATTAGGGGAGCCTGCCTTGGACTAATTTTGAGGTTTCCCTGTAGTGTGGATGCTCTTTTTCGAAATAAGCTATTCAGGAAGGTATCTTCTGGAATAGCTTTTTCCGAAATAAGCTTGAAGTGTAGACTCTGGAATAGCTTTTTCTGAAATAAGCTTGAAGTGTAGATGTGCCCTGAGTTCATAACTGTTTTCTGAGAGAACCCTCAGGGGCGTGAGACAATCCAAAGGGGGTATGGAGTAGCCAGCTCATTCCTCCCTCATGCCCAGGAGTTCTTATCTATAAGGAATTGTGGGATCAGAACCTGGATCTGTGAAATCTGAAAGAGCTGGTATTCCCACATCACCACTAGGAGGCCTGGCAGAGCTATCTTCAAAAATGCAAAGTAGCACGTAGGTGA